TATTTCCCAATAAGTACAATAAAGACACAATTCTGTTTATTAGCTTCCGAGACAAATATGATTTCATCAGTAATGTTCCACGAAGAGAAAAGAAAAAAAAATATTATGCTAATGTTTGCATTCCAGTTCAACGTTTTGGTGGTATAGTGTGCAGAGAAAAGACTGACATGTACATCACATCCGTGCAGTGTGTCCATGGACAAACATATAATGAACGCTGTCTGCTTCGTACAGCTATTTATACTTTTAACGAGACTCCAGCACACATGATTTCCCTGCATAAAACAGAGGCCGGCCCACCAGAGCCCCACTGTGCATTTCAGAGACAGCACAGCGCCTTCAAGGGGGGACGCTGTGTCTCCTGTCATCAGTCCTGCCCTTGGCTTCCTCAGTTAGCTTAAAAGAAACCCCCCCACGGGGGTATCCAGAGCTCATGATTAATTGATCCCACTGTTGTTTGGATCTATTTATAGCGAACCTGCATCCGTACAGTCACACTTCCTCTCTTCCCTCCCACACCAAACACTCGTGACCCGGCGGCTCGTTATCTGGTCCTGTTGTGTCGATGTCACAGCGGGAGAAACCGAGAGGCTCATCTGTGGGTCGCTGTGTGATTTTATCTCATCAGCAGAACAGAGCATTTGGTGTGGGAACACGGGGGCATGTTTCAAACGCTCAGTCCGAGTCGACGGCGTCGCCACGCGTTGCTCAGGGGCTCGATGGGGGGGGGGGGGGGGTCGCCATCCATATTGAATGAAGATTGAAGTTGTGTGACTCCAGGGAGAGAGCAGACATGCAGGCTGCATACAAATGTTTAGTTTGAGTCAGGATGAAAGAAAAGAAAACATTTATTCAGATTTTCATGGTTTTTCAGAGGGTGATATGGATATTAAGATTCTCAAGTACTTTACAGAAAAAAAACATAAAAGTACTCGTTCATGACCTTAATCAGTGGTGCAGTAGATAAGATATACATATATAAATAATGAGGGAGAGTGAAGGTGTGATGAGTCGTGAAAAAGATCATTTTTAAAGTTACAGCACTCATCCTGCATAAATCATCCTGTAGGTATGTTTACTGATACAAGTCAACATGTTTATATATTTATATACTCGTGTGTAGTGCAGTCATTTGTCCCGGGAATGAACGGCCATTGTTTTTTCATGAGTGAACAGAACACACACTATTTGTGCTTAAACATATTTAGATTTTTACACAATCATATTTGTGTATAAATATTGTTTTATCGTGTGTTTTGTGTTTTTAAATGTAGGACTCTTTCAGTTACGCGCAGCAGACTGTAAATGAGCACAAATGAGTGAATGAGCAGAGAAAACCTCTGGACAAAAAGACAAGAGAGCAAAAGAGAGCAATGATCTCTCTCCCTTGCAGCGCTCCTATTTATAGGGGCTGAATGTCGCTTCACATTAAGGTCGATGGCAGCCATCTGCTGCCCTCTGCTGGAGAGGGACGGTCTGTTTTTGTAGTACTAATATGTTAAGAAACTACAGTATTCTGTGAATCAGATGCTAATCCTTCATATTTAACTTGTAAAAAAAATAAGACGAGCGCCGAGTAGTTCATATTCAGAATACAACCGTTACACCACACGTGTATTATTGTGCACTGTAGTCTTCACATGGCACAGAATATAATTCAGTTAATTGGACCAAGAACTCACTTTCACAAACCCACATTCGCCCGAAGCATCGGTCTCTTAAAGCTCATGGGATATATATATATATATATATATATATATATGTATATAAAAGGAATATGAAAATGCAAGACTGTGTACATGCATGTGGAGGGGAAGAGTAAATCAGGCTTAAAATCCTTTCAATTAAAAATTGCAATTCAATAAAGAGATAACGACACAAACATGCCTCTCAGTCCTTTGAATGCTCGTTATATAAATGGACACAGAGACGTAAGAGCTCAAGAGAAAATGAATGTTGCTTTGAATGAAACATTTTTTGTGGAGGATATTTTCCAAGTTAAAATAGATTTAATCTCCACTGTAACATGTTTACTGCGATCTGATTTAAAATGTGGCAAAAATACCCCAAAGCGAGCAAAGAAAACTCGCTCCAACTGGATACTTTTTTTTCCTTTCTTGAAAAGTTGACATTTTGAAAGAATTGTCTCTTGTCCAACAACAACATCTAAAGCAGTTGCCTCATTATGAGGATTAAAAGGTGCACGCTCTGATATTATGTTAAGGCCTTAGTGCATATTGCACTTGTAATACTGAAGAATTCATCATTTCTGGATAAACATGGCTGACTTTATAATATCAATATAATCTTTAAAAAACACTGTTGAACACAGGATGATCTGTAAACAGCACGTGATGTTTGAACAGCGGCAGATTGTACTTTGATGAATTCTATTTAACTGCCTGGTCTCATATACATGAAAATGAAATCAACGAGAACAACCGTTAAAAGTTGTAATAACTAGGGTTGTAAATGAAACTATAAAAACCTGAGAGCGTCGTCGTCAATATCACACAAAATAAAAAAACACTACAGATATCCTCTACGTGAAAGTGCCAGATCTTTGTGGTTCCCAGCAGTTAATCCGACATGACCCACGGTTCTATTCACTGCAACACCTCGGCGTTACTTTCACTTACTCAATGTTTAACAAGCCTCCGGTGTTGTGTGACAGAGCGGCGCTCCGTGCAGCACCTGTATCATCTTGAAATGTCGAAATAAAGACCACGGATTAGGTTTTAGATTTGAAGCAGAGAGTACAGAGCAGCCAGGTTTGAGCTGTAGGCTTTAGGACAATCGTGTCACTTTTATTAGTCTGGATTTCTGTTGCTCTACTGGAAGGTGACCGGCACGCTCTGTGCACACTTGTACCTGTATGAAATAACACTCGCAAGCATTTTTAACTGTAAAAACATACACACTGCGACAAAAACACTGTCGATTAAAGCTTGAATATACAGATGTAACTTATCACACTTGAACTGAACTCTGACTACACTTCAAGTCAATGTCCCTGTGTCCTAAATAAAACATGGAAATTCAGATAAAAAGTAATCCATCTTATCTTTAAATCTTTATTTAGATTTCATGCTCAAACTTCCAAATTTATTGAAGATAAAAGCCAGAAAAATGTCCGGAGGATCCTACAGGTGAACCCATGAAATGCTCTCATCATTTAAATATTAAAACACCAAATATAAAAAGGGTTTATGCGTCTCAATGAATCCAACGTTCCTCGTCAACCTCAGACACGACAACACAAAAGCAGCAATAAAGGATTTTGAGCCGATACTTTAAAAATACTGTAATTCGGGTCAAACACTTACAGAAGATCACACGATGACATTTCCTTCAAAAAGCACACGAGTCGACAAAACAGGAGCCACTGTTTCACATTTCATCAACATTCAATTCAACCTTCTTTCGACAAAGGTCCAGTAAAAAAAAAAACAGAAACCATGATGAAACATGATGAAACATGATGAAATGTGATGAAATATGACAGCCCGCTGTGAAGTGAAGCCCTTTATGGGGACAACAGCTCAGAAACTTCATGATGACGAAGTGAAAGCAGCAGAACATCAACTAGCATTTACAAATCCAGAGTTCTTTGGTACATGTTTCTCTGTCTTTTGGTCAAATTATGCAAATTAAATACAATCTGCTAAAAAATAACTCTTTTGGGTTCAGCGATAATTAATATGAAACAGCATGAATCACAATTTAACTTAGTTTCCTTTCGTCTTCCTTAAAAGATTGAACTGATATTGTCACTTCTACTGTTTCTACCACCGTCGGCAACATTAATGCTACTGCTGAGTAAGATGTGTGGCCAACACTAACATCCGTAAGCATGTGTAAAGTAATCATTTTCAATTAAGGAAAGAAGATATTCAATCTTTACAAGTCTCTTTAAAAGCCATCTTCCAGTTTGACAACACTGAACAGTGTTAGATAACATTTAGTGAAAGAGCAGAAACATTATTTTTTCCCTCTTATAATGTTTTTACAACATTGCTCTGATGTTCTGATGTATTCTGCATTCATCTGCTTTTCATTTCGTAGAAGAAAGATTTGATCAACTATATAGTTTTTGCTAATCATGAAGGATTAAACTGTGGTTTCCCTACAATTGAAAGGGGACATATCATGAAAAACTCACTTTTTCAGTGAAAAAAAGAGACAAATTTGTCATTTTTTTTTGTGGGCATCCTCACTAGAATATACTGCATCCTCGGCCGAGTATCCCCACTAATGACTTCAGAACTACCTCTGCAAAGATGCAACATTTCAGACAGAGGATGGAACCGGGGATATTCAGACAGACGGTGTGAGGAAAATAAAGTGTTTTCTGAACATTAAAGCAAGTAAACATGTTCTAGTAGAAACCCAAAATACAAGTATGAACCTGAAAATGAGCATGATATGTCCCCTTTAATATCATTACATTAACATACCGAGTCAAGATGAGAACTGTCATGATAAAATGGTTCATGGACACTTCAGCCCTCCACTGCTAGAACAAGATCATCCACATGGATTACACTCGCAATATGTAAAACAAATATAGTCCCCGTTTCTTTTTAACATGAACAATGACATATTACCTTTTAGACATCGTTACTCTAATACAAAGCAGCTTTGTAACATACCTCAGAATCCCTTTAGCACATGCTACAGTACAACTGCAGTTTCCTTGGATCCTAAAACATTTTGACAGGCTGAAGAGCGAGAATTCAAACATCTGGATCAGAGTTCATTTTTATGTTTTTTTTTTTAATTCTGCACCTTTCATATATGTAAATGAGGGTGAACAAAACATTAGAAACAACTTTTTGAGTGTTTCAGGATTCACTGCAAGGCTGCGATGTTGGATTAGATCACACAGGCGTACCTAATAAACTGGTGACTCAGTGTGTCATTTGCCTCCAGATGCAGACATATCAGGGTTCTTGAGTCCTTTCATTGCCATGCCTGTCACCCCCCCCCCCCCCCCCCACGTATCTGTGATTAAGGCTTCAGAAACACTCGCCTCCCAACGTAGTATTTCAGGACGTTTGTTGAATCAGTAGAGTTCTTTCTGCACACGGGCCAGATGGCTCTGCAGTCAGCAGGCTCACTGTGACACAAACCAAGACAAGAGGACTCTAAATATGAACACGGTCAGATAAAAATAAAAGAGTCGCTATACTTCGGCCCCCGAGCGGAACAGAGAGAGGCCTAAATATAGAGCCTTGTGGTTTCCCGTGTCTCGTCTGTGCAGCAGTTCGTGGGTCGCTCACCATGTCATTTAAATATCGTTTCTCTCCTCAAGAAGGAGGAAGCGTCGCGTTGGAGTGCAGCTGAATAAATACAGCAGCGTATCCTTACACACTGAATAACTTTTGATTACAGCCTCGGTGTAAAATGGCACGTGATATACATTGTCCCTCTGACACCCGTCACATCAGGAAACAGTCATTTCTACAGAAATGGACGTAATCATAATACTCCCTTTTATTTTCCTTACAAAGTGTCTCTGAGGAAGGAGAGCACGCCTTCCCTTTGTGCACTCTGCAGTGTGTATTGCGGCTCGGTACCATGGCAGTGTCCCCGGTGGGCTTCGTTTGGAGCGCCGCTCAGCAGAGTCCAGAGCGCCACAGATTCCTTGTGGATCTGCGGCCTGATACTCTGCGTGCACTCAGCAAGTCCACGGGGGACCGAGGGGAAGGTCCTCTTCCGCCTCGTCAGTACTTATTAATCCCAAAGATCCTCACGCCGTGCAGCTGGGGCAGCTTGGGGATGAGCACAGTGAGCAAGGAAACCGTGTTCACCACGAAATGGGCCCGGTCGTATTTGGTGTAGAAGCTGGTTAGTATGTACCTGAACCAGAGAATAATGATGATTACAAGGGAGGAAATGAGTAACACATTATCTGCATTCATGTCTGAAAGGTGTTTAGTAAAGAAAACACATTAACAGAAAGAGAAAAGCATGTTTCTTTGAATTGCAAATGTTGTTGAATTTCTAGCCTCCAGCAGGCGGTTCCCGTTCACCTGTATCAACCTTTTAAAAAATGCCCTTTGTTCCTCTTTTAGTAAGCAATGCCCTTTCACTTGTTTGCCTCTGGAAAGAGGTCTCCTCGCTCATAACTCACACGGTGCCAGAGGTTTAATCTGCGAGGCTGTCTCAACACGCCGAACAACAGGATTGTGACATCATTGGAACAAAATACGCACAAAAGCAAAAGCTCTACTTTTATGCAGAACAACCCAAATACGGGACACGTAGAGTGACCGAGCAACAACCGTTCAGAAACAAGCCTGTGAGGCGAGTCTGAGGCCTGGCTGTGTGCTGGCTGGAGGACACACAGATGTTCCTGAGTCAATAAGAAACTACGCCGATCTGACATAAACAGCTTTTTGTTTTTTTTGTAGATGAAACAGCACGCACCACTGAAGGGCTTTTGTGAGCTTAGAAATAAAAGGGATTGCACATCCTGTTCTCTGGCGAACAAGCGAGGACACGTAATGAAGGCACACATGGAGCCCAGAGACTTGACCACCGGGCTCCTGCTGCTGGCTCTGGGTTGTAAAACAAAATGACTGTGAGGGCCTTATGTGAAAATTGCTATCGCTACGATGTTCATGCTGAGCTGGCGAGTCGACCCCAGGGAGCCAGAGTGCTTCCTGTAAACTGAACTGTGCTGTTGTAAAGCGGACAGAAAGCAGAAACGGGGTTCTGCTTGAAAAGGTGCAACGTGGAAGATGTGGCCAGTGTTTCTGTTTTAAATATTCAAAGAAATGAACAAACGTTATCAACAGAATGTGATGAGCTTACAGCGTTACGGCCCTGCTGTTAGTTAGCAGTTGGTTTTTTGTGTTTTCTAACTACAGACTGTGAAATTAGATCGTATGGAAGGAACGCTGAACAATCAACACTCCAAAATAGAGATACGAGAGGAGGGAACATCGGAATTAAAATCACATTTTTCATAGATTTACCTCAAAGCAAAGTCAGCAAAAGTACAACTTTGTACCACTTTGTCTGCGCTAAAAGGTAAGAACAAAGCAGAAGAGGTGCTGGTGGGTGGGAAGCCAGTGGGGGATCATGTTATTCTAGTTGGTCGGTCTACACCTTACAAGTGTTGGGGTCTGTTCCCTCCACCCGTTACCCTACTGAAGGCTGAGCGCTGGGTTCTCAGGGGGCCACTTACAGGACAATCGGTGTGATGGTGAGGAACTTGCGTGAAGCAGTGAACTGCACGCCGTAGTCCATCTGCTCCCAGTACGTCATGAGGCGAGCCTTGCCCTGATCCGGGGTCTCAAAGGGCGTCCCCTTGACCGTGTGAAGCAGGAGGTACATGCACTACAGACAGAAAGAAGAGCGCTGTTGTAGCATGAATGTCATACTGCTCACAGATTTAGTCTCATATATATTCTTGATTTAGAGGCCCTGAAACAGCAGGAAGCCCACAAGCAACAAGTGGATGTATTTTAAGGATTCACAGAGTAAAGAAACCTTTAAAGCTGCACGATGAAATACACAAACTAGAAAAGTCAAACTATTAAATACACTCTGGCAGTCAGAGACAACTATTTATGTTTCTGTTAACCAAAACATAAAAGGTGTTTAAGCTGCCTAACCCGAACTCTACCTTAATTAAAGAGTAACAAGGACAACAATTTTGAGTATTGAGCAAGAACGCTAAAGCTAGCAGCCGCTAAACAGACTTGTTTTTGCCTCCGACAGCCTCAGATTGTTATCATAAGTGTCTGACATCATTATGGAAAGCACCCTTCAGAGAAATAAAACCTGTCTTCACATATCGCTTGATCCGGTCTGTTTCTTGTTGTGTCATGTGACTTGTTGGCCAGAAGACAAAGGCGGACACGTGAGTGAGAGTTGGAGAGAGGAGCGTCAGTGTCTTCAGAGTTTGTTGCGTTGGAGAACAGAACACGTAGCCGAGCTTTATCTAAAATACTTTAACGTCACGGCGGAATATTTAGAGGATTTCTGCAACGTGGATGTGACGAGAGATTTCAGAACGGAGTGAACAAACGGACCGGATCAACGAAAGGTTTAATTTGTCTGTAGGGTCCTTTCCATACTGTTATCAGACACTAACAATGACAATCTGAGCCTGTCAGCGGTGAAAACAAACACTTTTATAGGACGAACATTGACGGTGAATCATTGCCCTGAGCGACTCCCCATTTCCAAAACTGTGATCCCCACAAAACATGTGAAAATGGGTTGAAAAACACCAAAGTTACCCTTTAATATGGTGCTCTTCAAGGTTGATCAAAGTTTTTGATGAAAGACTGAGTAATACCTCAGCCCTTAAACCTAAATGCTGGTTGAAACATACCGACACACACACTCACTAAAGAACATGACTAAGAGCAGCGACGCAGCGAGTTCGACTCCCTGTTCTTCCTAAAACCTCAGTGCAGAGATTTGTTCCCATCTGACTCATTTCTCCCAGAGCCTTCCAGCAGTACGTGTTCTCCACTGACCCCCCGCTACTGTTCAACACATGCTAGTTGAAAGGAGCCTCCGTCCCACTGACCAGATTGTGGATGAGGTTGGTGAGGGTCCAGACCACGGGGACGCTGGCGAAGGGAACGCTGAGCAGGATGACGTGCAGCAGGCCGATGCCCAGGATGTAGGACAGCCACATCCCCCTGCTGTTCATCACCCGGGTGTTGGGGTTCACCTCGCTGTGCGCCGTGCCCACGTTCATGACGGCGGCGCCGACGCTCTACCCGACCGGTACGACGTGCCGAATGAGCTTGAACCCAGCTGGATGCGACTGGATGTCTGCAGTACGATAAAACAGAAAGACTAGAGGATTATTAAGACGTAGCTGAAGTGTGCCTGAACAGTGCATACTGTCGCTTTAATTATATGAATTACTTCCTCCTAACTCAAGTTGTACAGTTAGAATAATCTGTTTATTGTATAACAATAGCTTCATACATTAAAGTATTTATAATATTACAGTGAAAATGACCAAAGCTGCATTCCTTCTGATTGTCACAATAAATAGGTTTTATTTTGATACATAAATTTAAAGAAGTTCGACCAAACAGTGACTCAAAATGACACTTTCTAACATTAAATGCCAGTTAACGACGCCTAACTTCTATTGAATCATCATGATGTATCAACACAACTTATTTATCATCATTACTTGTAATAACATTGGTCTACATGTCACATATGTGCTTTTAATTCAAACACAAAAGCACCGAAATAAAGCAACTAATACAGCCAATCAGAAAGCAGTATTTTCTGTGGCCATGGTGGAAATGGAGCAAACGTGTAACTAACTCTAAAATAAGATCTGAGTCGCTATTGTTATTATTTTTAATAAAAACTGCACAGAAGTCAGGACCTGCAACTGATTGCCACGAGGAGTAAACAATGTGGTCATTCCAGCATGCTGTCCTGTACGTTGCCTCAAATGAAACTGGCTGCACAATATATATATATATATATATATATATATATATATATAAAACTGAGGAAATAAATCTTTATACTCACAGCAGAGGGAGAAAAAATGGCTTCAACTCCGACCTGTATTGGCTCTAGTCCGTTATCCCAGTTTGTGTCTCATCGATGTAACTGGTACGAACACCGGGAGACTGGCGAGGCTCCGGTGTTTCCATCAGTCATCCGGTAACCGTCTATCGGCTCCGGTGCGTGCTGCTGAGTGTGTGTGCGTGTGTGCGTGCGTGCGTGTCCTCGTGTCGACGCATCCACTTTTCCTCCCTTCGTCTTCCAGACAACAGCTGGTGACAACACAGCCCAGCTCACGATGTCACGTCACCGCTGCTCGCTGTCACGGCCCCCGGTATTTCACATTCTGCCGTGATTGGCTGCTGCGTGTCACGTGGGCGGCGCTGGCCTATCGGCGTTTATTGCGTTTTTAAAAGACGTGGACCGCGCCCCCCAGTTCGACGTCACGGCGGAGGCGGGATCAGTGGAAACCGGCATGATTGACACTTTAACGGTAAAATAAAATAAAAAAATGTAAATAAGGAAAATAATAATTAATTTGTGACATTAAGTATGCCTTTAAAAGACAATAGAAAATCTTTATTAAAAAATCTAAAATATTATTTTGGCAATCATTTTTTGTATGCGATTCTTTTATTTATTTTTAATTTTTTATGAGTTTTTAAGCAATATATATAAATATATAAAAAAAAAAAAAAATTATATATATATATATATAATTTTTTTATTTTATTTTTTTTTAAATAGTTTTATTTATACAAATGTATATATTTTATTTATATATATATAAATATATATATATTTTTTATATTTTTATATATATAAATATATATATATATATAAAAGTGTTTTTTAGAAATATATTTAGAAAAAGAAGTCCTAGGATTATGATCCAATGATTTTTTTCTCTTACTTTTACAGCAAACGTATAAAATATTATGCATTGCAAGCAATTTAACTCATGCATTCTTGCAATATATAGTATAAAAAGGCTAAAAGTACTTAAAATGCTAATATCAAAATGTTGACGTGATGACAATGCTAACACAGCGATGTTAAGCATTAAACACAAAGTACAGCTGAAGCTTATGGGAATGCCAATAGGTTTGTAGGTATTTGGTCATAAACCAAAGTATTGGATAAATAAAAAAGGAACCAATGGTGACACTGAAAAGTAAAGGGATCCCTTAAGTTTTTACAATACATCTTGAGGGGGGAGTGGATAGCTGTAATACATTTTTATGACAATCCATCCAATAATTGTTGAGCTATCTCAGCAGACAAATGCCACCTGGACCATGTTTATGTACCATGGCTATCCATCTAATAATTGAAGAAATATTAAAGTCTGGGCCAAAGTTGTGGCTCGACCGACCCACCGACCGTCTGAATGACAGACCAACATGGTCATGTGTGTGGATCATGGTTCTTCAGATATAATTTAAATTCAGTTTATAACTTATGTTTTCTTAAACAGTCACTGGCTCTGACGCCTCTCTGGTTGATACCAATGTTCAAAAGAAGGCCCTTAAGTACCAATGTACCCCAGTAGAGAGGAGACCTTGCTGGGCTGATAGTCTGGACCCCAAAAATCAAAGATCAACAGTGTCATGTTCTCGATCCAAAGATAAGCCCTAATACTAATTTAGGCCCACAGTAGCCCGAGGCCAAAGGGGTCAACTGTGTTCTACTTGCATGTGATGTTACATGACACCCACTGTTTCTAAGGGTACCCCTGTGATGAGCGGCATGAAACAGGTTCGGCCCGGCCGACAGCAGACTCTCTAGCGCGCATGGCCTTGGGTGCTGTAGCCGTGTTAGCTGTGTAAACCTAGAGCTCTGTTCATATGCGAACTGTGGATGACAGAGCTGTGAGATCATCGCTGGCACTGGAACAATGGCCAAATACGTGACACTGATAAAACAGATCTCGGGAGGGGGGGGACGCCTACAGATGTCACATCAACAAGACGTCATCTGGACATTCATCTTTTTTTCAGGACAAATACTGTGTCCATAAGTAACTAGAACGAGTGCACTCAGATCTCTGCCAGGTGCGTCTGCGACCACCACTGCTGTATTGTGCGATGTCAGGAATTTAACCCACAATGGGCTAACCTCCTGTCTAAACACTAAAGCGTCCTGAAACACACTTCCATCAAACCCAAAAACAAGCTGCAACAAGTCGTAGTTCAAGAAATGATACAATCTTGGCAAAAACCGAATCAAACCCACCAAGCTGTCCGTCTGTGTAGCAGCAGCTGAGTGGCGGCGATGTTGTTTACATCAGTTCCTTAATCCACAATGTTGCTTTTATGCTTTGTTGTACAGCAACCAACTGAAAGAAACAACACAATTCACACTCAGCCAAGCAGGAGCGAGTATATCTGATCTTTGACGCAACAAAACTTTGGCTTCCATGAACAACGATACAAATCAAATCTTCAAAGTGCTGCAGTGGTATCCATTTCCTCACAACCACATATTTAATAGGTGTTTAGATGCGTTCCTCTGTGGACTGCATTTCTCACGCCCGCAGGTCATCTGGCTGAGCCTCTCAGACGTAACGTGACTCTGATAATACCACTCGCGCCAGTGAAGAAAGCTTTTAATGATCAGATGCATTTCATGTTGAACTTTGTTCTGACAGCAGTGGCTGTGAAAAAGAAAAACATTCTTCGCTAATGACGCATAAAGAATTTACACTAAGACATATCTGACTGTTCATAAACCTGCATGTAATTATCAGCTCCAATTATACAACTTTAATACAGAACATAACATGCGTGTATGTTGGGGAGGACCAGGACTGTATGCTTACTCTACATTTTTGTTTGAATTTGATCGACTAATCATAATATAACTGCTCCAAAAACATGTCACATTAAATGTTACTTTTACTTTGTGAATGCTCCGTTATAGAGCCAGCATTATATATCTTCCCTTGGTTATAGCTAATGGTTTACTAGAGATTCAAACTTAGTCTTTATGTTATTTTGGGACTAAAAAAGTTGGCACATGCAGCTTGAATTAGTGATAATAACAGAAGTCTTGATAATAAATATTTGGAGGAAATGTCTAAGCTGTTAATTCTTTGTTGTAGCTGAGAAAGCGATCTATAGCAACGTTCTTATCTGAGGAGTTTAATGTTACATCCTTCAGTGTACCGTCAGTGTAGAAACTTAATCCCAAACATTAGCCTTTCATTGGACAAATGACAGTAGTAATGTACAGCCCACAACATTCACCGTTGCACAGATGTAGAAGCTTCACATTCTGCTCCTGTTTTTAGAACAATACAAGATTTGGGAAAACAAAAGATTTTTCATGTTTTGCATCATTTTAAACTAAACAACTTGCAGGACAACCACCGCTCCACCTGGCTTGATCTTAACTAAACTGCTGCAAGTATCAAAGAGTTCAAACTGACAGAAGAGAGATCAATCAATCCTCAATCCTCTGATGAAGGTCCTTCAGACCGAAAGCTCAAATAAATTGATCTACGTGTGTAAATATCTCTTCCATCAAATGAAACAACTTAAAATCTTTGGATTCTGGTAAATTAAGACGGACATTCGTCCCAACTGATGACATTCTGTTGACTGATCAAGAAAACATCAAAAACAATAGTTAGTTTGCAGCTCTACTCGTCATGTCACGTCACTTACTCACGATTCTTCGTGCTCACGAGACATTTCACACAACGTTCTTGATCTGGAGCTTCTGATTGTGTTCCACCAGCAGGTGTCACCATCTACGCACTTTTAACTGTGTAACTCTATCACAGGCACAGTGGTGAAGTCAAAATAAAGGGATAATATTCAAGCAACGCTCGTCCTCTGTGTGTTTCTACTTGTACATATTTCTATAAATGCAAGTTTCTACATTGCTACGGAATGTGAAGTCAATGTTTATGATGTGACAGCGTGTCTTTTTATATAAATAATGATACTTCACCAAACAAGACTAAGCAGTTGTAGTCAGACTGTCGCTTAATGCGTTTGCATGCTAAATCAAAGCTTATGTCCTGATGTACGTACAGTACACAGTTATGAGTGGGTACAACTGGCTCAATGCAACACATTCAAACATTTATCCATTCATCTGGATGGTTAAAATGTGAAGCTTTTGTTTGATCATTTTGGAGGCTGTAGTTTGTGGTGGTGTTACTATATACACCGTCGGAGAGGTATTTCTATTATTCTGTCCATCCCATTCATGTCAATAACACTTTAAGAAGGATTAGGCAAGGCCATATCTGATTTTAGTCTACTTAACACTCACAATATACAGTATAATATGGAGCACTTATTGTACTTCTCGTCTTTTCACTCCTATTAGCTGCTGTCATTTACTGTAAACTGTAACTTACTGTAAATTACAGCACCCCCCGCCAACATGTATATATTGTTCGTGAACTCAATGAGTGGTGAACAGATGAATTAACATGCAGCGAAGCCAAAGAGGGGATTTGTTCAAACTCAACAAAGCTTATAAATATTATTGAAAAGAAAAAATATTCCCAACTTGCTGTGTAAATCTAAAGGGCAACTGATTACCTTTTTGGCATTTTTCCAGTTACCATATATCTCTTCAAGATGTCTGGTTTATCTATTCAATATAATATAACATGACGAGGAAATGGCAGTAAAAATGGTCCAGAACATTCATTTAAAATCCACTTTTCTCACGTTTTTTTAGATAAGGCCTATTTGTGTTTTGGGTCGCGATGGTTTGATGTTTTTTTTTAAGTAAGTTTGGGAAACACTGCTCTGGAGAATACTACTTTATTCTATTGCTGTTAACATCAAACGTTCCTGCGGTCAGTGGTGTTGGTGGCTTGTGCGGCCTGTAGAGGAGCTGGATGATGTGAGCCCGGGCCGCTCTCTCCAACAGGAGAGGTGGACTTGTGACCCAGGCAGGCTTTGGATGATAGCCTCGCTGGAAAAGGCTGACGCAGGGAGTCCATTATTGCCCCCGGAGGAAGCTGAGGATTAGAACACCAAAGAATTTCAATAAAAGAAGTGTCTGTTTGGGGGTCGGGGAGGGGCAGAGGGATGATGGTGGTGGTGGTGGTGCTGGTTTGGGGGGGTTCCCCTCATTGTCCCAACTGTGATTGAGAGCAAGAGGAGGGGAGTGGGACGGCATTGTGCTCGCAGCTCCTCTGAAGAAGGTGGTTATTAGGGGGGATGGCTAAGGAGGGGTGAGGGACGGGGAGGCTGTTGACTCTTCATCTTGTGTGAACAAAGTCTCTGGCACATAGCCCTCTTCTGTCCCTCCTGTCCTGGACTTCCCTTGTTTACGAGTGCCATGAATTCTGTCCCTCTCGGCGGGGACCCCCACCAACTCCAACCTGCGCCGCCGCACATTGTGGGGCTTAAGTGCCCTTTAATTAGGCCGCCTCAGTGTCCGGCTGAAGGCCGCTGAGGGGTTTTAGGCTCTTTCCCTGTGGGACCTCGCTGAGCGGCTCACAGAGCTTCCCTCACACAGCCCAGGGATGAAGTGTTTGCCGCTCTAATGAAAAAAGGGTTTATTTGGGGGGAAGAGCCCTTGTCGCCTTTGTCCCCCCCGTCTTAAAAAGTCCTGACAAAAGGCGTCGATATTATCCCCGACACTCTCCCATTTCCAGGACACATTAGCGAGGACTCTGGAGGTGAGGCGGCAGTCTCTCGGCCAGCGAGAGACACATGACTTCCAAACTTCTCCCGTCAAATCGTGACGGTACACACGATGCGCTTCCTGTGCAGACGGAGCACACCGGGGTTTTATTAGCATCATTATCTGGTATCAATTTATCAGGCAATCACTTCACAGATGGAGGCAAAAGAAGATCCGTGGTCATGAATCTCGAATGGGAGATTTCCAAATTTTGGAACTTTATGTAGAGGAGCGTGAATGCATGCCAAAATAAGTAAAGGAGGGTTAATCCAGATAAATTCACCCATGCACACGTACGCAGCCAAACGCATGCACGGCTTTGTCATTGTGATGGAGCACATTTCATTATCATAACAGCAACAAACAAACAAAAAAACCCTGAGCCTAAAGAGGGAGGGCGGGCACAGAGGCATTGGGAATTTGCCGAAACTGCTCCGGCAAAATGAGTAATTTCTGGATGCCCCTTTGTGTGAAGAGCTTACGGTGCGAGGGCTCTGAAAAGGGAGGAGGCGGAGGAGAGGGAAGGATACAAACATGGGAGCAAGTGAAATAAAGTGAAAGATGGTAGGAATGAGAGACAAGAGAAGGGATGAAAAGAAGTTTGTGAAGGGAGCAGGGCGGGATTGGGCGTGTTCAGGAACTTTTTCGCTACAGCCCAGTGTGTGTAGATACCCTCCTAATCCTGGTTTTATTGGCTGCCTGTGTCCAGCCATGCTGGTCGGATTGAGTGGGGAGGGTTGAGAGGTGGAGGGGGCGAACACATGTCCTTCTTTGTGGTAATGCGCTGATTAGGCCTGAGAAAGAGCCGGACCTGGTTACGGCCTTTCTCAGGTCACCGTAGAAACCGGCCCAGTAGGGGGCCGCTGTGTGTGCCCCCCCCTTCCACACACACACACACACACACACACACTCTCCCTCCTCCTTTGCAGTAGGTACTGGTGCAGACACACCGAGGCCTTCCTCTGCAGAGGTTTGCATGAAACACCATCGTCTTCCAATCTTCTTGACCCTAAAAATCGCTGTTACAGTTCTCCCCCCCC